ATGCATGTTTACACAAGTGGCTGCAGCAAAATACCGAAATAAAGGATAAAATATTTCCCAACCCTAAAACGTTAGCTCAAAGGAAGCTCAAGAGAGAAAGCAGAAAAAATGAATAGTAAAGAAAAAAAATCTGACATTATGAAACTACTCAAGGCCAAAAATAAATAAATCGAAGGTAAGTTTGAAGATTTAAAAAACATGTAAAAGGTCATTGCAGAACTAATTGGAATAAGCCATAGATGAAAGACATAAATTCAAGCGGTTTTATCAATGCAATCTTTGGTTAATAGGATATTCATTAGTAAGGATGTTCAATGTAAATAGATGAGCATAGTAAACAGAAGAGTGAAAAAGAAGTGGGTTGACCTCGTCGCAACTTGGTTTTGTTGTCAGGCCGACTTAATAGAACGCACCTTTCCCGAAGTCCTCTGCCATAGTAGTTATCATAATTACCAGCATCAAACAGTGGGCTTGATAAGGTACCAAGTTCCCTGTCTGATGCTAGGAATTATGATAGCTACTATGGCAGAGGACTTCAGACAAGGTGCGTTCTACTAAGTCACCCTGACAACAAGAACAAGTTGCGACAACAAGATCAACCCACTTCAATAAATCTAAAGGAGACTGCGAACATACTAGGGTCCACACCATCTTGGTCTTCATATCTTCGAGAAGTATGAAAAAATGCATGGGAAAAGAATCAGAGCAATGGGTAAGAAATTCCCAGGAAAGTTCCTCATATGCATAAATAAGGGATCAAAAACTCCAAAAAAATAATATCTATATCTAAGCTAGTCAAAATGAATAAGCAAAAGAATTTAAATATAAGTACCAGAAATACATTAGTTCATACACTAATTCCACCAAGATGGCCTTCCAGTTGATGCAGCATGGGAAGACAATAAGCCGAAGAGGGAAGTGGCGAAGAACCCACATCTTCATCTGGAGTCTTGAGCTGGAGTCCAAATGGGTCAAGCGAACAATTATCCGATTCGCAATTACCACTGGTAGTAGCCGTCGACTGATGATATCTGACAAGACGAAGATAAAGATCACGAGCTGTGAATTGGACAAACGGGTCCTCAAAATTGTCTTTGGGATCCATGGAAGAAGGCGTCGTAAGCGAAGTCTTGGGCGACTCATGAAGCAAAGTATATAGCAAAGAAGCTGGAGGCGATCGAGCCAGATCTAGACGAAATGTGTTCACAGACGCAGTGATAACTGTCCGACATAAATGCGATTTTGATAGGCGGGGAGGCCTGGTGGCATTGTAAGAAACTGGAAAAAGATTGTTAGAAAATTACAACGATGAATTTGGGGTGTAAATAAGTTAAGATAGTTCCAGTAATTCTTGAGTAATGACTTAGTAACTCTAGGTTGAATAAAGAGATTTAAGCACTGATAGTTCAGTTTTCCCACAATGAGATGAATTAGTGTCACACTGCTATTGAACTTCACTTGATATCAGTTTCGACTTAGCTTAGGTTTCAAATGCATCTCAAAAGGGATTCGATACCATGTCGTAAGTAGCATGGCGCAGTTTCCCGCCGCTTCACATATATGGATATCATTAAATCATAGAACAAATGTGATATTCAAAGGAATCAGGCCTCATCCAAATCGGATTCATAGTGGGATTCTCGATTAGGCAAAGATCTACATGTCATTTCTTTCTATGAAGTTGCTTATTTTAGGTGTAAGTAGGTCTCGATACCTAAGTATCAATGTACAGAAAATGTCAGAAGGTACAATGTCTTTGTTTTTACGTGCCGTGAGATTAAGAAAAGAAAGAATCATCACGAAAACAAACAGCAAAGTCTGGACTAGGACCTGTCTACTGCAACCAGATTTTCTATTTGTTCAATTTTAGCAACATTTGAAAGGAAATAGCTTAACTGTGTGCAGAAAATAAACCACTAAAGTAGTATATTTGGTAATCGCGACAAAGTAGAAAGGAAAAGGTACTGGCCTAGTTAATTCGAATACCTGAGCAAGCCATATGCTGCATTTAGAAGCTGCATCACTATCGTATACAGAGTGATGTAGATCAGGATAGTATAATACCTCAATATTATCATTATGACTACCAAAATATGGTTTTGCCACTCATAATTCTAGCTAATATACTATCGATAAAGTATTATATCAAAGATCTCATGCAGAAGAATGAATGATAAAAGAATCAAGGAAGTAGTACAGTGCATCTATGAAAATAGAAAAAAAATCATATGAATAAAATAAATAAAATATGTAGAACTTGCAATTGATCCAACAAAATTGTGGATATTAACGAATTTGCAATATACAAATTATTCAAGAATAAAAGCATTTATCATGATTTATAAAAATGCGAGCTAAAATTGAATGTCCCTCAATGTACCTACCGCTTTCCTGCAAAAGAGTGATTCCTGAATCTGACGTCTTGACCCTGACAGGTAATTCCTTTGCTTCTGCCCGAAATCGCTGATTACCGTTTCTGTGGGAGAATTTAGATCCTAAGATAGGCCGGATACGCATGCTCATGGAATTATATCTAGACTGGTAACCTCGAATGAAATCTGAAGCATGTACTGGCGAACTGATAGAGTCGTCTTTTGGTGAGAAAGGCAAGTGAAGAGACGCTGGCGACGCAGAATCTGCCTCTGAACTAGGAAAAAAAGGATGATCGTTGATAGTGGAAAGTGAAGGCTGGCCAGATTCCAGGAAGCGATAAAAACGAAACCAGATACGATGGACCATAAAGATCGTCAAACAGTTGAAGGAGATATCGAGAAACCGATGAGTCTTAAGCAGGAATGTTCAAATAGACGTTTTGATATACAGGAAAGGAGACAAGATAGAGGAGAAAAGATGAAATGATTGAAAAGCATACAAAAATAAAACATAATAGATGCATGAAAAAGCAAATAAAATAGGGGCATTTGACAACTGTACTAACTTAATATTGACACTAAAGCTAAGAAGACTTCTGTACAAAGAAAAGTTAGGTTTCGAGGAATCTTTCGTCCTATACTTGTTGAGTTCACTTTCACTATAAGCAAAACTGTGGCATAACAAGACTGTTCATGTAAAGCCAATTTGCAGCCGAACAAAATGAATCCACCATCGTCTTCTAGTAGGAATGAACTCAGTATCTCTCTTCCTTACAGACTTTCACTAGGAATGGAAGTGAGCTCAACAAATAAAAATAACTCGATTGATACCATATTAGATCGGATAAATTTAATGCAAAAGTCAATAATATGGCAAATGAAAAAACAACTGATAAAGGCGTCCGTTATAACAAAAAGTGGTTTGAGTTCGTTTCTCAAATTGGTCGTATATCAGAGAGACCAAGAAGAATATACGCTCGGACACCGGCACCGAAGTATGCATTGTCAATGAAAGACGCTATCGTTAGCCCAGAGTTACACTTATGTATCCGTTTATCACTTACAACTTGCCACTTTGATAAATTATAACTCTGGGCTAACAATGTCGCCTCTCAATGAAGATGCAGACTACGACTCCATCGAAACGTCTTGGAATAGGCCGAGTCAACGATCCGATGCTGGAAATCATCATAGGTACTCGAGATACTCACTGATGATGCCGACTACGATGCCGGCGAAACGTATGAGAATGTACCAAGTCCACTGTCTGATGCTGGGAATCATGACAACTACTATGGCAAACGACCTCGGACTAGGTGCGCTCTACTAAGTCGCCCTGACAACAAGATCAAGTTGTCAACACACTTTAATAAATATAAAGCCTAGAACACATATTATTAAAATTAATTAGATGCCATATTCGCAATAATTTTGAATCGGAAGGAGATTGTAGACGAGCAATCCCTAGATTATTATTGTAAGATATAATAAAAATAACTAAATGAGACCTAAGCTGAGTAAAGTAGATAACCATTGGTGGAGAGTCCAAGGTGGAGTGACCTATATTTTGGCTAGTCTCTTTTTGATGTAAAAATGATCTGAGGGCGTTTTCACAACTTGCTCGTCATCAAAGGGCCTCGAGAAACACACTGTTCATAATTCATTGTTTGCATTATGGTTATGATTACAGCCTAGTGTTATTGATTTAATACATATCCAGAAGTTGTGCAGACATCTTACTCAACATCGTCAGTGAACATTGCCACCCTTACTACCTGGTTACATAAAGTCAAATAAGTAGATGAAGTCCATTGCTTGGCCAACTTACTATTGCATCCTTCTGTTGAGAAAATTAAAATATTCTCATGTCTAATTATCACTCTATTTAAACGTATTATGATCCCCACCAAATGTGCGCTCTTTAAAGTATATTTGGTTCGACTGGTCTCTACTTCTCCAACTGTGCGGAATTGAGAGGAACAGTTGCACAAACTCACATTTGAATCTGTAGTGAATATGCATGATAGATGTGAAGATAATAGGCTAAATATACGTATACTAACCGAATTATATCTCGTGGCAAAATTATCAATCGAGGAATCAGTCACAAAGAGGGCACAGATCCGTACGAAATCTTTATTGCCGTCGGCAGGCTTTGAATCTTTCTGTACGTGTCCTGCTTTCTCTGACCTTTTTGCCAAACAAGGCCTCAACTTGTTATCAGATAAGCATTTGCATTCTTTCGAAGTATGTCTGATCTGATCCTCACCTATACTGGCCCTTCTGCTTCTGCCAAGCCATGGAAGTCGGAAAACAGGTTGCCGAATCTTGGAAGATACAGTTGTCGAAGGCTCTTCTGCTGAAGTCGCAAATACGGAGACTGCACTAGATTTGCCTGGTACCAAATTTTCTGATGCATGAATAGATCCGTAGGTCAGTGCTGCAGATGAAACGAGTAATGTTGGGGAACAAGTGTTTGCGTATTGATTCAAATGGTCAGGATTGAGAGCTAATAGAGGTTCCTCATTCTGATAGGAGTTTTTAAAAAGATAGATGTTAAAATCAGGATCAGAGATTGATAGGTAAAATAGGCATTAATGCAAGAATAAAAAGAAAAAATATTTCTAGATCATATGAAAATGCAGTCAAAGAGTACATTGTGATACAATAAAGCAATGAACAATAAATATTAGTAGAAACAGATATGAGAAAAATATAATACCATGGATAGCAGCCGTATTTGGTCTTGGTGTTATTTGGTGAATCCGATTAAATCTGAGTGGATAAACGTTACGACTCATCAAAGGTTAAATCAACTCTACCGACCAGGGAAACATAAAAAAGATACGCTCATAATGAGTAAATTTGATAGAAATTTCAACGAAAAGGTGAAGCTTTTATAACCTAGTGATAAAGACTAACCTATCAATGAGTTGTACTTATTTATGAATAGACGCATAGATTCACAATAGGTTCTTGCTTAGTTTCACTCTTGGGGAATAACTACCTGGCA